GCTGCGTTGGCAGATCCTGGATCAGCGCTGCTGCTCCAGAGCCTTGAGAAATGTGGGGTCGAAAAACGCCTGTAGTGTTTTGGGTTGTTTTTGTACAAATTTCCGTCCTGGCCACCAGACTTATCCTGCTGTCGCGAGGCCATTGGAGTTCAATGTTTCCTCTAAAATTCTTACCAACAGTGGGAAAAGGAGGAGATGGAGATGCTGGAATGAAGTATCTGTAGTGGGTGATTGCTTTGTCACGAGGAGTATTGCAACTGATGTTTAAGAGCATTGGGGATTCTTCAAATTGCAACTGTCAGGGGACCCAAGTAGGTACCCTGAGGAACACCATGTTGGATATTTGTGTAACTTAAGTGCCTACTTGGATGCTTTACAAAGTACTCCAATGAGCCTCCAGCTTTCAGCTGACACAAAGCTCAACTTAAAGTCATGAGCCGGACCGAGCCGAGGTAAAACACCAGAAAAGTAGAAATGAATGAAGAGGAAACACCGAAGTTCAACACACACTTATAAAGATTCAGCTCAGAGTATATAGTTGATACAGGTATTTATGTTCTCATGTCTGTACAGATCCTAGACTGCTTAAAATAGTGGGGCAACAAGACACAAATGTTTCACTGGTAGTTAATATGCACAGCAATGTGAGGCGCTGGGCGAGAGGAGGTCGAGATAGAAACACGTAAAGCTGCATGCTGAGGAACCCATTCATACACCTTTAAGTGACACCATGTCCGGGTCAGATCTGCTGAGATAGTCCAGACCTGAGGGGAAGCAAAGAAGTGTTCACATCTGGACGCAGGTTCAGATGAAGACAAAGTTATTTGGGATAAACCGATATGCTTCTTAAAGAGCGCATGTGGAGCGTGGTCTGTTATATTCAATGCACAGAATTGTTCTTCTCTTTGTGGTTGGCGTGTACGGGGTCAGCCCGCTAGTTCAATGCCCTCAGAGCAGGTCAGCGTACAACCAGGAGGTGTATGAATGGATCTCCCAGTGCGTTGGTTTTACTAGTTTCTACAGCGACGGGGCACAATCACACGAAACCAGCCAAACCCAGAGCCCTCTAGAGTTACACAGGGCCGGGCTCAATCCACCAAAGCACACACAATACTGGAACCCAGGAGTCTGAAGAACAATCATTCTCGGTCGTTTGTCCATAGACTGAATAGAAAGAAGCATGTTACAGTTTATATCTTTTCTTTTTGAATTAATGAAAGTATTTCCTGAATTACAACTGAACCCCCCCCCCCCCTCAACAACAACAACAACCGTATATCGTGCCAACCCTTACGACATTATTCAGAGTTGCACCTGAGTTCTGATACCCAAAACCTCAGGCCTGTAAATTAAAAAATAAATACAACACATCAATATGCAAGGTAACGGATTAAAAAGAAGAGAAATTAAAATGCTACAAGTTATTTGTGTGTCTGCGTATTGAAAGTCACTCCTGCAGCTGGTCCTACAGCAGTGTAGCGTAGTTTGCGGCACTGGTTGCATATAACTTGCTAGAACTTAGAAAAGCATAGTACTGAATCCCTGAATGGTGTTTGTTGGTTTGGGCCGGTTTCTCAAGCGCCGTTTAAACTCCAGCGGTTTAACACTGAAGATGGGATGTGACCGCCAACCAAAAACTGGCACGTTGTTGTTGTTGCTGTGGCTGATACGTCAACTGTAACAGCCACTTTGGCAGGAAACAAACCTTGGAGGCAGTTTTTTAAATCCACTTGGCTGCTGAAATACTGGTGAGTTTTACACTTTTGGACACAAACTTGGAGATAAAAAAGGTAATACTGGTGTTTTTCCTTTAGGTTTTTAAAAAAGAAGCCATCCATTAAGTCTTGGAAAAGTTTAATGGTAAAAATGACGAGTCATCTCAAACTCATGGAGAGGAATGAGCGTTTACTCCTTAATATAATCCCCCAAACTGGAACCGTTTGAAGGACTTTGAATCCCTTTCCTACCGGAGGAACCTGGTTATGATTTTGGTTGTTTCTGCCACACTTTCTACCCCGAAGAAATCCCTGCGAGTGAGGTAGTGCTGAAGGGCTGCTAATTGTCCCCGACTGTTTCACCTCAGACAAATGACGGTTAATTGAAAAACAGCAGGAGCAAAGGGAAGCGATATCGATGTGAATATTGTACTCGTGCTACAGTGAATAAGAAGATGGCTTTAACTTCCTTCAGGTTTGCTGTGTTGTTGCAATAGTCTTATATTGTACTGAGATAATATCTCAAACCCGACCATCACTTCCTCCTCATTCACCTAATCGTCAGCGTGTTAGAGGTCCAACAGGAACGCCAACAGATGTAGATCTTCTGCTCTTTAGTTCTTAGAGTTTCTGGGTTGTTTGGTGGAAAACTGCCTTTTGTCAGTTGTTTGTATTAAGCTAGTTTATCGAAGTGTTTTAGTAAATACCAGAATATTTGGGGAACATGTTGGCACTCTAAACAAATGTCTAGCTCAGTTATAGACTTGATGTTTGCTGTGACTTCCCTCACAAACTCGTCTACTATTCATCATCTCGAGCACTACAGTACAGTAAAGAAAGCGTGATTGTGAATTGCTTTGAACGTGAAACGGTTTGGCAGAAAGAAGCTTCTTCATGTTTTTCTTTACTTGATTTAAAAGCGCTAGATTTTAAACTGCGTCTTGTGAAACCGTCCCAAAGCTTGAGGAGAGACTGCAGGTCTGCCGGCACCGGTGTTCAACGTCCCTCAGAAGAAATAAAAGACTCAAAAAAATGCCATTGTGTCACTACAATGACAAATACATCCGTTTTGCTTGACATCTACAAGAGTAACAAGAGTATGGATACGTAGAAATGGCACCAGGATGAAGGAGAGAGTCCTCGTCTCAACTCGTCTCACTGCAGCTAGCCGTGCGTTCGCTTCAAAACTCATTCATGTCAGCGCTGTATGTGGGACATAAAGCTGCACCTTAGTGACAATTTATTGGTTTTAATTGTGAAAAGGGTTAACACACAGCTGCTTGTGTCTAAAGCCGGTCTATCCAGCGAGATGTCCAGAGATAGAAAGGACTGAGCAGTTGCTCAAATGTCACCAAAGTGGAAATACTTGCTCTAAGACGTAGGATTTAATAAACAGCTGTAGAGGGATTGACAAGGTTCGACCGGTACAATGTACCGGTCTGAGATTAGTGTCGAGATTAAATTTTATCTGGTCTTAAAGCCTGCGGAGACGATGTTTTTGAGCATGACAGCACGGCTAAACAGAGTCTAGAGAGAGAGGAAAGCGTAAGTATCAGCAAGAGAGGAGGTACTCCAGTCCAAGACGGGTGAGGAGGAGGAGGAGGAGGATGATGCGAGTTGGTGGCGAGTAGCAAAGTTTCCTGAGGTGTATCAAAGGAGAGCAGAAACTCTTGATAGTAATAAAACAAAACAAAAAAAAAAGGATGCGTGTGTGTGCAATCAAATCAAAAGCAAGCTGGCTCAGCTAAATACAGGTATGAATCCAGATCAGGGCTGGGTACCCCTGCACTTCATGCGACACCTCTCCTAAAGCAAACACACGGGTCGCTCCGTTTTGTTAATATCAATAGAATCAGACCACACGTGACAGATCTGATGAAAAGAACCAGACGAATAGGCTCCAAGAGTTTGATACCAAATATCAAAGGTATCATTAGTACCCAGCGCTAATCCAGAGAGATATAAATACATGTACTCTATATCCAGATCTCACTCGTCGGCGATAGATATTAGGATGACAGTTGACACGGCAAACCAAAAAACGGGAAAAAAAAGAAAAATCACTTTCATCGTGGGGGGTTTTCTCTGTTTTTTGTTTTTTTTCCAATCATCATCATTATCATCATCAGAAGAAAATCTCAAAGAGAAAAGAAATAAACAAAAGTGAATATTCAGTCACAAATCAAAGTGGAGCAACAGGACAGATGAGAGAACGGGGAGGAACACTGTAGTTCCCAGTGTGTATGGCCGTGTGTACAGAGGCTTTGCTGACTACATTACCCATGAGCGCCGTGGCTGACAGCAGGTTGTTTGGATGTCATGAAGAGCCAAGGGAAAGTGTGAGCTATGACTGTGAACAGGGAGACTAATTTAAACTGTGTCCATCTGAACTGAGGTATACCTGGTTGAAGGAGGTTTATGGTTTTCTTTTAATCGTCGTAATGCTTGAGAATGGACCCCCCCCTCCCCCTTCCCCCTTTAAAATAAGCTTGATTACCAAGTTGTCTGGGTCCATAATACACTATGTACAGCAGCATTACACTATAAACATTCAGAAGCCGTTGCTTATTGGCAGAACGATAGTCGTTTCTTCAGAAAAACGCACACGAGAAAAACAGCAAATGTATCGAGAGCCAGGTGCTCCTCTTTTTTTTCTTCTTTTCTTTTTTGTTTTACACTAAAATGCACCGAGAGTTCCGTTATCTTGTCTCTCTGTAGAAAACCGAGCAGAACAGGTCGCCCTCCTATGTGTGTGTGTGTGTGTGTGTGTGTGTGTGTAAAGACAATACATGATTAAAGTGTTTGTCGAGTGTCGGCGTCCCAGCACGTCACTCGGTGACGTCGTCGTATTATCCTGAATCGTTTGCTCGGGACGAGAGAGTTTCGACCGTTAAAATCCTCCGATATCAAAATGGATATCAACGGATGTGGTGAGGGGGGGGCGCACGGTGTTTCCTGAACGCGAGTAGCGGCCCGCACTTAAAGAAAAAAAAAAAAGGAGGACAAAAACGGAAATTGGAAAGAAACAACAAAAAAACACTACGCCAACCAACCAGGGCCGGCTGCTCGTGTTGATCCGTGTTTCCGCTGGCGGTCGATCGGCCCGATCATAAGCTGGACTCCTTGGGCTGGAGGTCCACGTTGGTCACCATCGTGACGACGGTGACGATCTCCTCGGGGCCGATGACGGGGGCCTGGCGCTGCATTTGTCCGATGCGCTCCTCGACGCAGCCGGCGGACAGGCGAGCCTCGGCCTCGTGGTCCCAGCAGTCCTCGATGGTCTCACAAAGCATGGCCAGACCCTGAGAGAAGAGCGGGCGGGGTTTAACGGGACTTACTGCGTCTCGGAACGAAAGAACCAGATTACATTTCACCGCAAAGTCTCTTCTAAGCCTTCCTCTGCAACACTGCCTTCAAACAAACAAACACAAATCTAACACATCGGATTATTTAGCTCAAAATCAACTTAAAGAACAGTTTTCTACTGCACCCGTTTTGACATCCCTGGTGTCTGTATTTAGGATATTTACAAAAGTGTCTCCTCGTCGCTCACCGCGTGTTTCTGCCAGCAGTCTCTCAGAATAGGCCTCAGTTTCTTATGAACGACAACGTCCTGCATGTCCTCCAGAGACGGATGCTGACCCACCTCCTCCTCAAACGGGAGCATGTACTCATCCACCGGGCCTGTTGACAAACACATTTAAAACACAATTCAAACTAATCTGAAGTAAACGTAACACACGTCACAACATTGCGTCGCGTCGGGACTCACCGTCGGCGGCGGTGCATCGCGACACGAGCTCCCAGAGCACGAGGCCGAAGGCGTACATGTCGATACGCAGGAAGGAGTCGCGTTGGAAGTTGATGGCGCCCTCCAGGACTTCAGGAGCCATGTAGCGCCGCGTCCCCACCTGAGGGTCCAAATGGGACAGGTCAAGAGGTGACAAGTCAGTCTCGGGACACAGACATGAACAGAAAATCAAGTAGAAAGTCATGACACAGCTCACAGATGTGCTGAAGATGTGGACGAGGTGTCCGTACCTGTCCATGTGTGTCTCCTGCCGATTTCCCCGCCTCAAACTGCAGGGCAAGGCCAAAGTCAGCTATGCAGGCTGTCAGGTTACTCTTCAGCAGCAGGTTCTTACTCTTAATGTCCCTGAGACACAACAAGGACAACACATTTAGTGTGGAACTTCTGGAGCCGGTCTACACGATGCAAACGTTTTGATAAAAGGCCTTTATGGATCGAACTGAAACCTGTGAGCAATGGAGGGCTTGTGTCCGTCCTTGTGTCCCGGGATGTCTTCATGGAGGTAGGCCAGTCCGCGGGCCGCCGTCTGAGTGATGTGGCAGAGCTCGGTCCACGACACCACGTTGGCCTTCAGGAAGTCCGTCATCGAGCCCTGGAGACAGAGCGGTCATTTCATACATCATATAATAATATAAGTATTTAGTATTTTTAGATACTGATCCCATTTGAAGACATGCATTTATAATAAATACTGAAGTAGAAACGCAGGCTAAGAGTTCAGCAGTGATAGTCCAGCTGCGTCTGCTTCATTCCTTATCCTCTACACATCTTTGTTCTTACATAATGTATGTCAATATGATACAAGGTCACTTCTGGCAAGGCCAAAGACAGGTGTAGTTGCAGGAGTGACCACTAGAGGGCAGGCAGCTCCAACAGATGGCGACAGTAGATCAGGATAAATGCTCTGCAGTGTGTTCATACCTGGGTTTATTCAGCATTTTTACATTCCTGTCATATTGTTACAAAGAAAGACATCATCCCTGGCAGCTATTAATAAGAATGCATGGTCCAAGATATGAAAATATTTTAATTACAGGGAGTTTTTAGGGGCCTGCGTCATTTCAAGCAAGCCACTGCATGCTACGGATACTGAAACCTCAACACATGAAGCTGCTTAAACGCACCGAACATCAAGGCATAAATCAGCTGTCAAGGAAAGTGAACTCTGCAATCACTGCTCCAGCTGTGTTACACAAGCGAAGGTTCAGCCCCGGCTGACGTGGCCAACATTTTAACACCTGCTCTGAAAAACTGGCAGGAAGGAAAAGCTTTTTTATAGGTTAGAGTTTAAGTTATGTATCCCCTAAAGACTTTCACAATAATTACAGCGCACGCTTGGCGAGGTACGAATCCGTGCTTGTCGTATGACCTTTCCTAAAAACTCCTATAAAACTAGTTTATTCAATGTTATTTCTACTTGGAGAGCTTCTGCGAGTCAGAGGAGCACTTGCAGAGCCGCTGCAGGGTTAAGTGGCTCACCGAGAGGTGCATTGTTGGGTTGAAGCCCCGCCGGCACACCCACAACCTTTACATTTTCAACCTTAACTCACACGGAGAAACGGGGAAAACTCAAGCAAGCGAGAATCGCTCTCCACACAAAACAGAGGCACTTAAAGCCCCCAACGCTACGGAGACTGTGGTTGAGAGGGCGAGTGAAGCACCACGGGGCTAACAAAGCACCAAATCCAGCTCCTCTGGATAAACACGGCTTAGAGAAGGAAAGAAAGAACAGCACCGAGTATATTGTATAATCAGATCACTCCTGCGTTGTGTTTATTTGTTGTCTTACTGGGTCAATGTGTCTGGATTTGACAAACAACCGCCGGTTCAGTTGTGGAAACCTGAGTACTTATTTGGACTCGTTCATTCCAGTCTTAGTTTAGGTTACACACTAGATTGAATTATTTTGGATGCACCACTAACAGCTTTCATCCGTTCACCCTCCGCATTGCTGCAGCAGCAGACCTTTCCCCCTCTAATGTCCGTCAGTGTTGAGGTAAAGCTAGCTTAGCTTAGCTAGGAGTGTCGGGTTTGAAACCATATTTTGTACTTTTCTATCAGTGGATAAGCTCTTGTGACCTTTTTAGGGGAAATAAAAGCCAGATTTTGTAAATTTATGTAAAAATGGGCAATTACAGTGGTCAAAATAATCGTGTTACGCTAGAAAAGAGGCAGCATGTACTGCTTTGCTATTAAACTGCATCACAAAATTCAATGCAGCATTTTATGTACTGCTATTTCGCCCCCCTGTGCTTGTTAAAAGTCTCTGTTCAAACCTGAGCATTTCTTATAAAACAAAAAGAAAATGACTCAATAAAATAAAAGCACAGATGTAGCTGGCGGTGCCGCTCCGTCCCGGACGGCGTACCTTTTCGTGGTAGGCGGTGATGAGCCACAGCTCCAGGTCCAGGTTGTTGCTCCTCTTCTCCGCACCGAGAAAGTGGAGGATGTTGTCGTGCTTCATGCCGCTCACGCTGAAGATCTCGTACTCGTTCTGCCAAGACATCTTGTCCTGGACGAGAGCAGAGAGACGATGCAGATGTTAAGGTTGAGCTGTAAAGGTTATAATCGGGACAAATGACTCTGCGGTAGTCGCAGGTGTTTATCAGCGTCAGAGATGGAAACGCGCTCATTTATGCCCCTTCTCCTTTACGCCCCTTCTCCTTTACTTTCTGTCATCAGTCTGCAAGAGTCTGACAGCGTTATGCAAAGAACCCTGTAGAAGAATGAAGTGTTTATCTGTACGTTTCGCTTCATCCGGCGTGTTTGTTACCAAGTCTGTCTGAAGAAGTCTCGTTCTACTTTATGCAACAAGCTCATCGCTCAACACGGGAATAAAATAAACAGTTTCCGCCTCTTTTATGTCGCGACGCCTCATTGCCTTTTACAGTTTGTTCCATCGACGAGCTGCCCGTCCCATCATCTACACGTTTCACAGTTTAATACCTGAATGGGGAAGATCTTCACAGCCACGAAATCGTTCAGCAGCTGGGCCTTCCACACACACCCGAAGCGCCCCCTGGCTTTCAGCTCGATCAGCTGCAGCGGTTTGTGTCCCAAAATGGGGGACGGGGGTGAGGGCCCGGGATCCTGTGGAGAGAGGGCAGAGGACAGTGTTATTCTTCATTCTTGTTTGCTTTATGTATTTTATGGGTCTGTTCTTTGCTTTATTTGATCGTTAAAGCACTTTAGAGAGTCTGGTTTAGGGTAGTGCTGCATGTTTGAGTTCAGCATTATTATCATTACTGGGACGTTTCTTTTGGCAGAGAGGGAACAGCATATTAAATATGGGTTTAGATTCATTCATTTTAAACTCCATTAAACCCCCCGAGGCTGCATTTGCTTGAGTTTACAGAAGCGGGATTGTAACTGGAAAGGTGACAGTTTGAATCAAGTCAGTCGCAGAGGAGAAGTCTGTGGGGAAGGATGTAAAACCTCGACTACCACCGAGCGAAGCACACAGAGCTCAGGCTGTAGCATGGAGGAATATGAAGCAGGCCGATTAGAATGGACAATGCATTTTGGGTAAAAAAAAAACAACCCTGGCAGGTCAAACCTCATGCATGCGCCGTGTGTTCATGCTAATCCCGTATAAACAAAAGTGAGAGCGAGGAAGCCAAGTGTTCCAAATGTAAAGTAGGTTAAACACAGCTGGTGATCGGGATTAAGCTGATCACTTTCACGTGACTTCAGAGGGCGAGCGAGGAGAGAGAGAGAGAGAGGGCGAGGAGAGAGAGAGAGGGCGAGCGAGGAGAGAGAGAGAGGGCGAGCGAGGAGAGAGGGCGAGCGAGGAGAGAGAGGGCGAGCGAGGAGAGAGAGAGAGGGCAAGCGAGGAGAGAGAGAGAGAGGTTAAAAAGAAGCATGCAGTGAGGGAGTCACATTTCCAAAGGATAAAGGGTGGAGGAGAAAGACTAGCACATGACTGATGGCCTTTGATGAAACCAGATATGCTTCTGTAAAATCTCGACTTTACCTCCATGCCTCTGTATCGCTGTTGTCACCCCCCCCCCCCCCTGTCGATGTTCATGTATTTACTTGAACTGGAGGCTCACAAGGCACTTGATAAGCTGGAGCAAGTTTCAAGCCCCCGGGGCCCACAGGATCCATTCAAGCACCGCCATATCAAAAGAGCTCGTCAATCCCGGTTTTCTAAACTTCACATAAAATGCCCCCTTCTGGGTTAAAAGGTTTGCTACCGATACGAGCCACAGATTAAATATACATAAAGCGTTCTCTTTGGCTGCGAGGAATAAAAACAGGAACGTTTGGCCCCCACCCTTTCTTAAAGACAAACACACGTCTTTTTAACCGCCTGTCCTGACAGGATGATTGTGCAGCAGCAGAAGCAAACTGTACGTCATTGAGAAGCTTTTATGGGTTTTTTATCCATTTGGAAATGTTCTCCTGGTGCTGAACTTTGTGGCTTCAAGTTCACAGAAAGAAGGAACTACTGTTGGACAGAACAGAGATACTCGTGTCTTAGATGCAGTGACATCCCCGCAGTGATGAGGAAGTTTCATCCAGTGTCATCGGTTATTGAGTAGAGGTTGTTCACATAGTAGCAGCTGCAGATTCACAAGAAGCTTTGTAAGAATAGAAGTAAAAACACGTTGTTTAGGTGGAGCAGTGTGTGTGTGTTCCACTAGCTGCCTGGCAGAGCAGAGGGAACCGCCATGTTTACTTGAATCCTTCTCCCCTCTAACAGAGAGCTGTGAGGCAGACTTGCTGTCTCTACGCGCCGCTTTCACTCTGAACGCCGGCCAGACGACGGGGGTAGAACCAGGATCACCCTGCTGTGAATGTGGCGACTTGTGCCATCACTGTTCAATGTGCAGAAACATCCCCAAACTATTTCCTGTCTGTTTTTGTGCTTGGTAATTAAAGCATTTCGAATTTGTTATTTTTATGTAATTCATAGACGAGTCTGCAGAAAGACCTGCTGCGTCGTGGCACAATGACAGCCATCAGTATCACCAAGACAAATTCCTGAGCATTCATTGTGCTCTGAAATATGTGATGCCGACTCTGATCATGATACGCATGAGAAGGAATGAAACCCGGAGGCCTGAGGCGGGCTCGACATACCAGTGAATGTACACAGAGAACAAGTCCTCCTTATGTCTGAAGATATAAGAGCAGAGAGGATTCCTGCACAGCGACAACGCCGGGCGACAGAGATGTGACTGATGAGTTCGATGGCGATGGACTGATCCTCAACTCCAGCAGTGTTATAATGCAAGTCATCAACATGTCGACAGCTTCCCGGCATTCGAGATGATCCCGATGATGAGGATGAAAAAACTAACTTTTCTTTCTTTGCGTCTGCATTGTCTCTGGCAACTCTCTGTCTGTCTTCCGGGCTTCGGCCTGACGAGGCGGCCCGGCCCGGCTCGGCCTCCCCCGGGAGTCACCGGATCCCTTGTCCGATCGCAGGGCGCCGTGGCCTCGAGCGGGGGCGCATTACACTTAGTCAGCAGACCACAGGAAGCAGGAAAACAAAATCTGCTGCTTCACGCCGTTCTTCCCAACCCTCAACCGTCTCCCATGGCCTAATCGGATTACACCTTCATCTATTGCATCAGAGCGGGTCCTTTAGGTCTGCGTTGGCTTCACAGACGAAGTAGAATCAAAATGCTAAGTTTGATTTAGAGATAGACGTTGAATGGGCCTCCAAAGCTCATATATTAAGGTCATATCTTGGTGTGGATACGGCCATAAAACTTAAGGTTAAATCAAACACAAACCGTTGTTGACATGACCTTAAAGAGAGCTAGCCTGGGAGGCTGGACTGACAACAAGCCGGGGTCTAAACTCTGTCAGAGACTTTTCTTATTCCGTGATGTCTGCAGCCATCCCTCTACTCCAGTTTGAGCCAAAGTACATTTGCAAAAGGAGGCTTATGCTCCTCTTGTACTTAAGTCATTTACACACTCCAACTTGAAATATGTTCCAGGTAAGTGGCAATTCTCCTACTTATGCAAAATGTGTCTGCGCTCCTCCTCAGTCTGCAAATAAGATGGAGAAGCTGGAGTTTGAAAGAGTGCTGCCGTGTCTCTGTGCACGGGAGACGTGGCGAGCCATAGGTCCAGCAGATACCGCTCTGGAAACTGGGTCACATCAGGCACAGTGCGTTACATCGACATCACAGGTGGACATTCGCACAGGAATAAAAGGGGGCTGCATTCGGAGCCACGTTGGCCACTTCCCACCATGCACAATACATTTTGAGCAGGGAACAGAAAAGACATCCATCCATGCAATAAACCCAGGCAGAGAAAAACAACAACAGAAATGTGCTGCGGACCGAGTGAACAAGACGCTGTCGAAAAAGCAAAGAGAAGAACAAAATGGTGGTCTGGGATCGAGGTGGAGGATGCATACCAAGCTCTGAACCCAAAAAAAAGGGGGGGAGGGGGGGACTAAAATGGTTTTCAACTTCAATTGAACTGCTCTTACCTCCACCATAATGTGAAAGGCGTGCTTGTTGAAAAAGAACATAAGAAGCAAACAGAGACGTTATTTCCTGTCAGTCAGAGGGTGAAGTAGAGGCAGATAACAGGGAGGAGATGAACAACCTTCTGCTCTCCAGAACCAGGACCTTCTTTAAGGTTTGGGACACGTGACGGGCACCAGGTCTGTGCTGGTCCTGATGCAGGACGGGATATTTTAGGAACTTAAAATGATGCAGCTGGAAGTGGATGGATAGATGAATGAGTAAAATAAATGCATTAAGGTACCAACAGAAAATCATGTCAGAGGCAGAAATGTTGGGTTAAGAGAGTGAATGAAAGGAGTAACATGGAGCTCAGGTTGACCAAACTGAAGAAAGTCTAAATCTCAACTGTCATCGCATTTCAGGAGTCCTTTTGGAAAGCTGCACCCAGACAAACAAGACGCGAGTAGCTCCATAATAAAGCAAATGATGAGATTTTGGTCAGAATCGATCTGCGAGATGGATAGAGATAAGAAAATCGGGTCCAGACGTATGTTTAAAGTGCTCCAGGCTGCTCCGTGTGAAAGCTGTGGGTCTGCGTACTCAGACACAATCAATTCCAGTTTGCCTCCACTTCGCACTGTGGTGTGAATAATGGAGGCTTGGTGGCAAATATGCAGAAGTACCACGAGCACAATGACAGGAGGCGATTAAGTTACTTAGCCGCACACCGGAGTCAATCTTTTGAAGGGCTGTAGCGTCTAAAATCAAACGTGCTCTTTTTGATGCGATCTTCTTTATGAACTCCAGCCGACACCTACATGTGGAAGTACAGCCGGAGCTCTTCCTTCCTTTGTTTCCTCGGTGCCGTGATAATGAACACATTAAAGATCATCAAGTGGGAACAATTGCTTCTAATGTCTCATTACCTTGCAGAGAAAACAGTGTCTATGAACTCCCTCGCTGACCAAATTCAGAGCAGAAAATTGTATGCATGAGACAAATGTATATATATTTAGTTGTAGTCATTAATATGAAAAACAACTGGAGTTTCAGCGCCATCCTGAAAAGCAGAAGTCAGCATTGTGTATGTGTGACATCTCTGTGCTGGGATCAGACTGCACACTCCTGCTCCTTTTAATTAGAGATTTAGATTAAATGAGCACAGTGTGAAGCGGAGCGCTGGCAGTTTTTAAAAGAAGCAGCACATGGATGTTGGGAAAACGACTGTCACGACTTCCCGTTCGCATGGGGCGCTTAAAAATATGACTGGCAACAAGTGTGGGCAATTTGTAACCGTCGCATTAAAAATACATGAGTGCGTAGAGAGCATTGCGCTCTGACGAATGCACAACAGCACAGGAACAAGCGTGATGAAGCAGAAATGACTAAATCTATGGAACAGCTTCTGCTTTTCTAGTTTCACTGATAAAATACAGACTTTTTACTCTCAGGTGTAAGAATTGCTAGAAGCTGTCGTCGATGACTTTGCAAGACTGAGCTGTTTGAGCGATTGTCGTAGTCGCCGCGGCCCGCCGTGCATCGCAAAGAAGAGGAGAGAGAAATAAATCTCCTCCCGCTGCATCCACCTCTCTGCTCTCCATCTCCTGCTTTAATCAGTTACAAAACAAGCTGCTGATGCCGGAACAACTGAACGTGTATCAGATAGTGATTGCAAATATACCCGCGCTTGTTTTAGCCTCCTTCCCGGAGCAGGCGGGCGGGGCTTACTGCATCACCTCCTCCCAGAAAAAGCATCCGAGCTGACATTTAAACACATGCTTGAACGAGTGACCTCCTCTCCTCCTCCTGTCCTTGTACACCTACTCGTGCATGCATTAAATACTTCTGCACACGCGATTCTACACATCCGGCATGACTCCCATTTGTTCCGCCCTGGCTGTTTGATTTCATTTTCCTCCTCTTGTGACATTATGAATATTTTAGCTGCATCATCATTAGTTATCTGATCCACTCTCCGTAGCTCGCATTTTCTTTAATGTTGTTTATTTATTCATTTATCTGTTTCCAGGTAGGACGATTCATAAGCCTCTTAGCGCTGTTGTTGTTCCAATGCGCATTAGCATTTGATTGGATTGTGTCACTGTCTTTTTATCTCTTCCCTGCGATGCTTTGGCACTGTGCAAATACAATAACTAAGTTGAAAGAATTGCACGTCTCTCCTCACTCCCTCCCCTGCACGAACTACCCACCCACCACCACCACCCCCATCCTCCGAGGCAGAGCTGCAAGCGTCTCTGTGTTTAGTTTTGTTTGCCTATATAAAGCCTCATCAATAATGCAGAGGCCCCTGACTCCTCTTCCATACGGTGGAAGCTCTGCATGGGTTTTCTTTTTCCCCTGCTGCTGAGCAGCACAGAATATAGCTCCGCTGCCGTCGGGTGAAAACCGCCTCGAAGTCATGAAAGAAAGAATGAATCAGGAATGTGGAGCCTTACTCTCAGTCCGACAAGAATGGAGATGTTTAAAAAGTTTGCAAAAGGTGATGAAACTGGCCAATTCAAGCAAAGACACGAAAGCGATCAGACGTGTGGATATGAGGGTTCTTCCAACGAAGCAGCCGTGGAAAAAGCCTGATGGCAAGTTTGGAACAGGAAAAGAAAAGATGAGCAACTGCACCATCAGACGAGCGTCAAAAGTCTGTTTCAATCTTGTGCGATTAAAAGGCCGACACGGCACGAACCGTCCCAACGACAGCCCAGTAAGAGAGCCAGAACACGGGCTCCTCACATCCTCCTGTACTACTCTGAAGGAAGAAACTGAAAAAGCAATTATCGTCAACGTGAACTGTCCACACAGTGCGTCTGTTCTGACCAAGGCTGTTACGGCCCGCTGAGAAACTAGATCAGTGCTAGAGTTGAAGGTTGGTATATAAAAAAAAAAAAAAAAAAAAGAAAAGGCGCACAGTTTTTACTGTATCGCACTCCAAACATCAAACAATACAAGCAGCAGAATAAGACAATTTCTGCAGTTCATGTATCATTTTAGATCTTTAACCTGCTCTCCATACGAGCGTTATGTGCATACAGAACTTTCTTGGTTATTCCCGTTTAGTTCCAAGCTTTTGTGTTTGCCCGTACAGTGTGTGTTTCCGAGGAATAAATCATTTGAGACGCAGAAGCCGATGCGTTTTGCATTTCCCCTTTGTTTGCAATTAACAGATGAAGTGGGACGCAATGGCCGCCGTGGCTGAACAGACAAAAAGAGAAACTCTAACTGCATCAGCAGCAACTTCGAGGAAAGAGGACACCACAGTCCCGGCCACACCGTTTGATTGACAGGTGACCTCTGGAAACAGTGATGAGCGTTCTGTCAGAGGTTAAGGATCTGTGTTCGGAGCTCCGTCTAGATGCAAGACTTACATGTGTGGGGACGAGGGCCGCTGGGTAGGCCAGTTTGTGATGTCTCCACATCCAGAAGGAGAAGAGGACGACGGCGGCCAGGCCTATGATGGGCACCAGGGAGTACAGCAGAGTGCTGAAGAGCTGGGGCTTCTGGGAAAACGGGTTGGAGGTGGCTGCGGGGAGATAAAGAGGATAGTGGAAAGAAGAAGAACATTTTATCTTCATAGCAACAAAAATAAATCAAAACAATGATGGACAGAACAGAGAATAAATAAAGAGAGCCTGATTGGCCCGACATTGTGCTACATCATCTCTAAGTGCAGCACCAACTCTGCTCACAGCTTACTGCCACTGTGCTTAGGGATCATATCCATGTACGCACGCACACACACACACACGCAGCAGGATTAGCAAATCTATCTCGTGACATAACGTAATCCGCCTGCCAAAAATAACAGAGCTCTGAACTGCGTCCGACCCCTGCAGGAGTCGCTGGGTGACGCCTGCTGGCTCAGCCCGTCCTCCCATCACAAGGTGTGACAGTCTGATTCGGCAGTGCTGACAAAGCGCCGACGCTCGGACGCCACTGCCGACCTCGGGGGGGAATGAAGTTGGGAAGGGGGGGGGGGGTGGGACAAGAACGGGTGGGGGCTGATGGGGTTGCACCAGCTGCATCAAGGGGCACTCGGGGCATTTGTCATAGAGGTTTTCTCCACAGGGTGTCTGCAGGTTTCAGAGAGTCACATTTAAAGAAATACGAAAAGACAGACGGGCCTGTTGGACAATTTCTCTGTAAAGTGATGAGTGCAAGGACACCAGAACCGCCACGCTCACTGTTACGAGCACAAGGCACAAGGCAGTGGCATCATTTTGCATTTGAAATAGTCGTATCCTCTGCAGATCGGCTTTGTTACTCCGAGCGAAATCCCGCAGAAAAACACCCGGTTATTAAGTGACTGCTTCGCTAATTGTCTCTCGTCAGTGTTATCTCTCTGTTAGCATTGTTTTATCTGATTCTGTGTTCACTGCGTTGAGTGGCAGCTCTTATGGATTATTGGGATTGATGGTAGGTTCAATGCTTCAGGGCTACTATCACTTAAACCATATTAATTGAAATTAAACTGCATGCAAACACATTAGCAACTATTAACATATTAATATCAACATTTCATACCAGTGGATGACGATGAGAAGCACTTTGTGGAGGACTATGTCTTCAAAGTAGAAGCTTGGGTGTTGTGTAAATGATTTGCGATGGTAGTAGTAATATATATATGCGAGTGCCTTAAATACAGATAACGTGTGTGCGCAGGCTGGACTGTACGTACTGTAGGCGGTTGAATGGTGCGGGTCGCTCTGCAGGCTCGCTTCAGGGGAGTACAGGAACCTCTCGTTGCACATGTTGCCTTCACAGCAGCAGAAGAACACGTCGGGGCCCTCCTTCTTCTCCACACACTCGGTACTGCAGAGGACATGGAGGAGGAAATTAAAAAACAAGGACCTCACCAATCTCTCCTCTCTGCAAAGGATATGGAAGCAATTTATTTTATGTAAGTGCGAGTGAGTGCACACTCGCGGCGCAGGAAAACCATCATCTGCATGTGCACGCACACACTTCTCAATGCACTCACTGCAGAAGACGCTTTCTAAAGAGCATCAACGCGCACAAACACACGAGGAACATACGCGCACTTTCACACAGACACACACTTCCTCTCTGCTGCAGAAGACATGAGAGAAAAACATTTATAAAATATAACTCCTACACACGCCAATACACACACGTACACTAACAATCACACACACACACTCTCTCTTTCACACTCACACAGTCATCAGATAAAAGCCAAAGGAAGTGGCAGCCGCCCTCGACTTGCTCTGGACTCTCCGGGGAGGCGAGGCGGCGCCGTCTGAGCAGAGGTACCCAAGCTGTGCGGGCTGCAGAATCTACAGCAATTTTATCGCCCGGGAATCAAAGGAAAACACAAGCAGAACCGGCTCAAACCAGCATCTAGTGCCAGGCTCATGTTCTAGCAAGGAGGGTACTATAATAACACCGACTATTAATATCTGTTTACTGCTGGAGATGAACACGGCAACTTCAATTTCCTCTGCCTGGTAATTAGAAATGCAGCCAGTCAACTGCTGCTTTCACAGCGGAGCCCTCTTCATGATGGGCTGGCTTGAAACCACTCGTACTTTTAAAAAGGTGTAAAATTAGATTATTTAGGATCCTTCCTGACGTCGGAGGTATTATTTTCTGGATACCTGTCGTAGCAGTTGACGTCGTCCAGCCAGCAGCCCTGCCTCACGACCTCCACGGTGCCGGAGACGTTCTTCCACGTGGCGAAGCAGTGCCGCCGCTTCTCTTTATCGCCGTAGCAGGGCTCGATGCCGCTGCGGTTGGTGCGCTCCTTTTCCCAGCTGGAGTTGTAGTAGGCGCACTCTTGAGTCTCCGAGCGTCCCAGGATGGCACCTGCAACGGGACGAAGAGGGCATTCTTTAACTTTAACATTCATGCATCGCTTTTCCTGGAGGAGATAGAGGTTAAAAATAACAGCTACTTTAGGAGCCACTGTGGCTGGGAGATAAAAAGGTTATTTCTTTCCCGTCACTGACAAAAAAGACCAATTTAGTTGTGTATCAATAACTGGTGGAATGGCATTTCTTTACAGCCTCAAAGTATGTGAAGTCATCAAACATTTAGTTCTAATAAAACACTTTTTTAAAATCAGAGTTCTCAAGCGCTTCAGAGTCAATACATCACTGAAAGAAGATGGGCCATAAAGACTACCCAGGTATGACGGAGAAAATGAGGTTATAGAGGAACACAAAATTCACAAATACGACTGACGTGAGCCAATTGACTTCCCCTCCCCGCCAAAATAAAGGAGACGCAGGCGTCAGGTTTTGGCAAACCGATATCCAGGGAAGAATACTGCATGACAGCTTGTCAGTTTAGCGTTGCCGCCGCCGCCTCTCATCACCTGTCAGAGAGTCAGTCCGGTTCAGACTGCTGACGAGACTGAAGACAGTCAGCCTCCGCCTGCTTCCAAGCGCCGCAAGCCAGACGCTTCAGACACAGGAAGCCAGAGCTGCTTCCTACGGATAGTTTTTCTTTGTGCTCCCAAAGGTGCAATCAGCAGGTTTTTACTGCTCCAAGACATCAATGTTAACTCTCAGTCATCCGGATGCAATGAGCAATGAATGCTCCTGACCCAAGAACCTGTTTGTTATCATCAAGATGATATATAAAGATGTAACTGGTACATGATAATCTATTTCATGTCCTGTAATGAGTTTCTTTGTAAGCGTAAACTCTGTATTTGGGGTTTTATGTGCTTGTGATCTACTTAGTGCATCTCTTCAGATCTTTGCATGAAAACATTAGAGGAAACCTCCTGTGCAGATATACCAGAGCTGTTAGCTAATTATGTATTTATTTATACCCGTTTTATTCATTTTATATTCTTATATATTTAGTCTTCCAGCCAGCGAGAAGTTCCACTTGCCAGCTTTTATTTGGCGTTGCTTTTAACGTGTCGAACGTGTCGAACGCGCTCTGATGATGGAGGACGTATGAAGAATAATGCTTCAATTGATATGATCATTACCCAATTGTCCTCTAGCTGCGTGCGTCGCGGAGGAGAAGTGTCCCGTCGGCCCTGACCGGGTCTCCAGTCACAGTACGTTCAACAAATTGGGGCTAAGCTTCCATAATGGAGGTTACCTTTAGGAAGATGATCCATCTCTCATTAAAATGGCTGCTTAAGTAAAGCCGGTTAATGCGAGCACGGGGCCCTTGAAGCAGGTCGACATTAACAGCTGCAGACGGAAGAGAGCGGAGAGCGGCTGCTTCACTGGCAGGCGAGGTCACCGACGGCACTTTCTCTCGTCAAATCCATTTCCCCTGAAGCCCCCCAAACTATTTCACAGCAACAGGTGCAACTGTGAACTGTTGCGCGTGTGCGATTGAGAGCAAACGGCTGAAGCAAATTAGAGAGGAGAGGAAAAATAGTCTGTGCAAATGCCTTTAATGCAAACAAATCACTAGAACTGACGGCACGAAATCGCTGTTTGAGCTCTGCAAAGAATCAAGTCAAGGAAAAAGGAAAGTGAGCCTTTAGATATCCCATCATGCCTCAGGGGTGTTAGGGTTTGATGCTTTCCTTAGAAAGACCCCGTCCTCACATAACCTGATGTGATACGGCTGCACCACGATGCCTACAACAAGAGGAGCAACATCTCTGGCTGTGTTTTGGTGAATTCAGCCACTCCACCAGGCTCCACCTGGCCCCTCAGCAGTTTAAGAGTCCACTGTATGGCGCCTGCTTTCTCTTCTTCCTGCATCGCTCCCTCCACGGGGACTCGTGGGAGCTGAAAGCGATAATTATGGGGAGGTATGCAGGGGTAAAGCGGAAGGTTAGCTCATTAGCCACTTCTGGTGTAACAGCATTAGCCATGCCAGCGCTGATCCCCGTGGACGCTACGTGGAGGTGCTTGGCATCATACGCATTTCCATTTTACTCGGGAGGGAGAAGCCTGACTTCCTGTATGAAGGAGTGTGCAGTACACAGAAAACAGGTGCGACAAACCCATCTCTTAAACCTACAGGAACCTACCGACTTGTTAGTAAACTGAGCTTTTTCTAAATGGGACATTACTCAATTTTAAAAAGGACCAAAAGCCCGTCTTTGTTCTTTCCAACGCCTCAGTCCAGGTATTCCACTGTGTGAGAGAGAGCTGCGAGCCATGTGAACTTCAAATACACTGCTCCGAGCTCAAATCAATCACGTCTCTGCACTGAGGTGACAATAAAGGACGGCTGCCTGTATAGCGCCGTGTGCCAAAGGTGGGCGAGAGCTGCCCGGCATGCATGGCGGATATGAAGGATATAAAGCAGAGAAATCAATCTTCTGACTAAGTCGCAGCTCAGAGTTCACTAAAGCGGATAATGTCAGCTAGTGCAGAGCCTACACGAACCATTGTGCAAGGACACACAATAGGGCTTCCACCCACCAGCACACAACCAGACAATAAAGAGAGAAGCCCCTTTGTCTCACAACCATACTTCACATATAGAAACGTCAAACATGAAGAACTGCGTCATCGTGGGGCCACTTCGGAGACACTCCGACATAAACCAGAGGTTTTGTGATGTTTTGACTCGTCGCCTGTCCTATACTTCACCAAGATACATCATAGCACGCAACTACAAGTACAATCAGTGCAATCACTGCAACGCCTCAAAGAATGGAAGTTTCCTCTTCTACACTACTTCCTTTCTTCTCGTAGAGATAAACTACCACGTAGCACGTTCTCTCTTCCAGTCACAGAGAGATCTATCAAGGTTAACCACGACCTACTTTACTTGTGGACGTTTCAGAAAACCGTCTAAACACCGACCCACTTCTGAAATCCACTGAGGCTTTATGAAAAACTGCTTCTCAAACGCCGCCCCCCCCCACCTCACCCCTTGTTAGCTGGCTCTGAAAATTCACTCTGACATTTAAAACTTTACATTTTGGCCATTTAGCTGATGCTCCTTTCCACGGTGATTAAGCTCCCTTCAAACGTACACGATATTCCTGCAACCACAGAACAATCTGATGAGGCAATTAGACCCGATGTTTTTAAAAGGACAATTAGACTGCAAACAGGGGATGTGATTCAGAGAGAGAGAGAGTAACATGACGATGGGAAAGATTGTGAACTTGGCAGCGCTACTGCGACTGGAGATTACTGATTATCTGCTGCCGGCTCTGAAAATTCAATCTTTTGTATGGCGGCCAAGAGGTCATGTTAGGTGGAGGCAATTCAGAGGAACCTGAATGTGAGAGATGCAGCGGGTGATGCTTCCCTCTCCGATAGCGAGCTGCACGGCGACGGACCTGAAGGCTGACAAATAGACAACACGCTGCCCAAGTTCAAGCTTCAAAAATGGAACCAGATCAGTGAAAGCGATTCAAGGTCCACGAGATGAAAAGCTTCATCACGATATGTGCCGAGCAAATTCACAGCACGGAAAACGTACTTTATTATAGTTCGGAAGGAAGCGACACAGGCTGCATCTCCATGATTCCTTCAACCTGTACCAAGTTTATTTCCTTCTTCTTCCGGCCACATGGGAAGTCATGACTTCAGCTCACCAAAGGTTCATTAAAAAGAAAGAAAAACAACACAGGTGAGTTTATTATCGGCCCATAATTGCATCACAGTGTGACATTTCAGCCTGAGAAACTGTCCATCAGGCGCGTTTAGCCAGACAACTAATACCTAATTTCCTCCGTGTGACTGCTCTCTGCTCTGCAGCCTCATAATGAAAAGGCGTTTTGGCGGGCCGGGCCTGCACTCGGCACCGCATGCAGCGACGTAGGTAAACAACTCATTCATCAGGCTTTGTGTGTGTGTGTGTGTGTGTGTGTGTGTGTCAGGAGCAGGGATTGTTCGCTATGATGGAATTTGTTCTAAGGATCAACTTATCATCTGCGTCTAAGTTGAAACAGATCTGAGGTGATGTATGGATGTTCGGGGGCGTTGCTTTGTGTGGGAATGTGTGCTTTTTGAATAGCGGTGGAGAAAGGAGTCTGAGGTCAGGGGTCAGCGTGACGGCCCAATGCAAGCTGACACTCCTCCCCCACATAACTGACTCAAGACTCAACTAAATACAGCTTTAGCATGTGCCAATAACTGCGTACATTCAGCAGAAATCATCTAATCATAGTAGTGTTAACACCTTAGCACCAACGAAATAAAAGTTGTGATAACGTCTGAAAGTCTTCCAGGAAACCTCCAAATGTTCTGCACCAACAGTCGAGTTTAGCCGGTGTGTGTGTGTATCGGGAAGATATGCGGGGAGGGGTTGGAACATTGGACATGGCGTTGGGGTGAAGTTGGGATACAGATACTTTCACTGGCTGGTTTTAGGTTGAAACCACACGAGTCTATCTGGAGTTTTCCTGCAGGATGGGGGCAAACAGACAAGAGCGATCAAAAACCGGCCTCCTGATGGCACATCGACCGAAGCCAAAACAGAAACGCACCACACAACCTGCCTTGAGGGCTGTTTTTACACCATTTATAGCTGCTCCACTATCACAGGCATCCAGGACCAGGGGCAGCATGAGAGACCTCTGAGGCTACCACTATCTGTGAGCTTGTATAAGACGTTAGACATGCTGACGTATCCGAGTAATGGTTAGAGGAGGAGATGCGAGTACAGAGACGAGTTTTGTTCTTTGGATGAAATGATGTATTTAAGTGGAAAATGTGTCAACGCTGTATAATTGTGTTCTTGCTGTGCGTGAATGAATAGAGAGGTAAGAGTCGGTCATTTCAGAGTAGCCTGGTTCTCTCTGGAGTGCTACATTAACGCTTAATCAGATGGTGTCGTGACATGGCAGGGGTGGTGGGGTTGGCTTGGGTGAGCTGGTCACAAAGACTGCAGTCTTTCCATGGACGGGAGGAGGGACGGGG